ATCTGAACCATTAATGAATGCTCTGAGGAAAATTGTTTACATTCACCAGTTAATACATTTGTGAATTTTTCGGATGCTGCAAATAAGCATTGATTTTTTCTGAATAATTCATCATCGAAAATATTTACACAATGAACAAGGACCGCTTCGAGGCTAATGATTTGGAATAGCCTCATGATGCACTATTAATAATTCATGTTCATTTCTTCAAGTGTCCACTGCATAATGCTAACACTTGAAATGTGAGAGCACTCGATATGTTCGAAATGGTGTGAGAAAATGAAAGTTTTATATGGTTGGGTTTGTGTGAATCTGACAGGCATATAACTCTTCTGCTAATCCTCATCCGGAACAGTGTCATTCACTGGCGGTTATAGCTGGGCCTCAACGAATGCAGAGAATATTTGCCTTTCGATATTTGATCTTCCTTATCAGGAGTTGATCCCCGATTGGTTAAGGTTTGAAAATGTTACGTGGAACTTCAATTAATTTCGTCTCGTTTCCGATCATTCATGTGATTTTTTTGTTCTCGACAATTATTAGATATTTTCGACAGTCGTATTAAATGGTGACAGCTAAATAGGCTAACATTTGTCATCGTTCTTTATATTTTTCTATGATTGCAGTTATTTTTTTNATAGTTCGAAACCAGCACTTTCATTTCACCTTACCGACATCAAACTCATGATTTTCATGAATTCTATGTCGCTTTGTGCAGAGTATCCCGTCCGTTCAGTGGATTCAACCGAACCTTCAGCATTTCTTTAGCAATGTTTCAATGGGTAGGAAAACTGAATGAAATTTCCTTGTTATTCGATATGCGCACAAAAAGTTCATAAGATCCCTGAAAACGATAGGCTCGGTTTCCTGGTTGCTTACACATCGTAAAAATTCTCAGTGTTCAGAAATGTTTAGTGCAAAAGTTTGGTGAGTTTGTTTACTCGAAAAAGTGCTATTTTTGAACGAATATCTTTGAGCGAAATATGCGATGTTGTATACAAATTTGTTGTCATAAATTATCGTGATTTTCGACGAAAATCGTGGATGATTCGCTGTCGATAATATAATAAAATACTGCGCGCAACAGTTGTTCGAAAGGAATTTTGAAAGCAAAAAATAAACGAGTAACTTTAACACGGTCATCTCTTTTCCCGTTTGCTTTCAAAAAAATGAGCTCTTCCATTGGGCACCTGCTTAGAACAAGAGAAAACGAGAGACGAATAGGGATAGACAACGGTATCTTGTTAGGCTTCGTTCTACTTGTTTCGATTGCTTTTAGGAATTTTTCATCGTACTGAACCGATGATGCTCATCAGTCTCATTGTGATATTGAGTATTTGCTAAATTTCGAGTAATTTTTGAAAGATTTAGCCATTGAATTCGTTATTTTACTCATTNTCTCCAAATGAATTTTCAATAAGATCCCATAAAAGCTTAATTCAGTTTTCAAACGTGACTACTCCAAGTAATTCTAGATGTTCCTTCAGATGAAATCTGCAACGTTTCCAAGCATTTGATTCAGAACTGATCCATCAAAGGCCATTTATTCCTCAATTTTAATTGTTTCTGTTTTCAGTATCTTAAATTCATATATTGCTCAAAAATCGGAATTTTGTGCTCATTTCAACAGCTGATTTTCAATTTGTCTTGCATCTTTCTTTTTTTTTCCTGTAAAAACAGGATTTTTAAGTGCTGTAATTTTAAAACTTACTTCGTTCATCATTAGCATCAATAACATTACATTTTGGTCAAATGACTTTGATCGAGCATAAAACATTCTCTCTTCATACATCGCTTCTCGTTGAAGTGCCATTTGAGCGGAAAAACTCAGTGACCATTTGAAAATGCTCCCGAAAAGCTGTGATTTTCTCATACGCACTTTACAGATTCGTGAGAACGGGAAAAGTATTCCATATCTTCCCATTCACTAATTCATAATCTTTGTAATTGCTTCGTAGTATTTTCAGATTGTTTCAATATACTTTTTATCGTTTTATTTGTGCACCATTCGTTTTAGAGTGAGTTTGGTTACAAGGCTGCTGGAGCATCTTAAGAAGTGAACAAATAAATCAATTGATGGTCTGTGGTGGAGTTTAAGACGTAGTTGGTCTTTGGTGACGTCGTTTCATTGGCTTTGAATGAAACTTGAGAATCAAATGGAAGACTTGAAGTGGACTCATATAAGCCGTATGAATGCGCTTATAGTTTTGCATTCAAAATGAAGAGGTTAAGTCCCAAATAGAATTGTTTATTTGTATCGAAGCGAAGTAAAAATCTCCTTCAACAAACAAATCCGATGAAATCACCGCGAGAATGAATTTAAAAAGTGGAAATTCGTTGCACGAATGATTTCGTATTCTTTTTTAGATTCTTTCAATGATTTCTCATTTATTTAGGTAAATTCAGTAAACATAAGTCATCAGCCACGTCTTGTATGGAAATTTCACATTGCTTTCATCTACTCACATGTTTGCTTGCTGCATGTCTTACGCAAATGTTTCCAACGAAACCAATAAAAATGAATGATCTTGGTGATCAAAGCAATAAAACTAGCTGTTATATCAGTATCAGTGGTCGTAATTTACTGATGGCAATAATAATCAAAGGAGCAGTGATTATGATGATGTGTAGTAATTATAGTAATGGTGATACTAATAGGTACCACATGACTGCTAATGTTTTACTTACTGGAATTATCGCATTATAGATGGTGGCTAGATGCAGCTGTTGACGTGTCTATTTTTTCATAGTCGTGAATTGAATATCTTTTCTGAAATCGTGTGGCCGGTCAGTAAATTAGGAATCGTTGAGATTGAATTCTCGAATGAATAATTCGAACATCTTATCTAACTGTCTCGTATTAGACGAATATTTGTGAACTAATTAATTGATTAGCTATTACCGGTGAACTATTTAATTGTGATAATGTTTTCGAGTAGTCATAACCAAAAATCATGCGAGAATTATTCGCGAACCTTCAAGCAAAACTGATAAATAATACTGCACTGGTGATGATGCAATAATAAATATGCACCCGAACAACCGTTTGATCATGACCAATCGAAAGGTGTAAACGCTCATTCATAAACTGGATGTCGTTTCTGTGTAGTAACAAGAGGACAAGTGCAACTGTCAGTTATTCATCCATAAAAGTTGGTGGGTTATGAAGCTGGACAATGCTTCAGTATGAGTAGTTTGAGGAGAACACAGTGTATTCGAAGATGATGCTGTATTACTTTGAACACGTTTTGAAGACAGTGTATACTTGGGAATATCGGATGAATGAGCTAACGATAAGCAAAGCGATTGATTGTGTACGTTCGTTGCTTTAAAACGTGGCTGTTNTATTAGTAGCATTATCGTTCATATTCCGAAAATTATTACCAGTATTATTAGCCGCATTCAGCAGTCAAGCACTTACCAATCGTTGACGACGATTCAATTGGATCCAAAAGGACAGACAAATATAGTGAACTAGTTTATTGTTATTGTTAATGGTGATTGTTTTGCTGTGCATGCTCCTCGTCGATAATCCATATATAAACATTCTAATTTGGATCGGTTCGATCCTATCCAACTGACAGTAATACGAGAGAGACAACGACGAGAGTTGATTCCATATCTGTTACAGTTGATATCAAATAACGGCTAAATTTCTATTCAGTTGACGTTCTCTACAATATCCCAGTCGGATTAACGAAGTGACATTTCTGACGATTCGTTGAATCAATTCATTTGGCAACATATTCTGCACTATATCATTTCAAGGAATCAGTGAAAGTGCGATTCAGAATCATTCGGCGACGACAGCTGTTGATGCTGTTCAATGGCAGAATCTGTGTCCATCTCATACCTCTGTTGTCACTTACTGCACATTATCGATTCGTTCAGCTGTTCGCCATCGTCATCACATCACTATCAGTAATTTCACCACCGATCAATAATTTCGGGAAACGATTTGTTGCGATCATTGATTGATCTCTTAATGATCATCATCCGATCAAAAACACTCAGCGAAGATAAAAATAGAAGAAGATATAAAGAAGAAGAAGCAATACAGATATATGTATATATAAACGAGCAATTTCGGAAGAGAACGCAGCTGAAGGATAAGTTTAATGAAAGTTTTGAGTGGAGCGTTTATTTTTCGTCATCATTACTCATGTAAACGTCAGATGCTCCAACTTACTATTGTGTCTAATAACGAATCAATTAAGAGTGTTCTGTTGAATCGATTGTGTGAACTGATTACTTTCTACTGTTAGCAGTGTTCTTATCGGCTTATTTACAAACTGTCCTGTGCACACCAACAACTGAACCTCCTCTGAACTATTTCCCAGTTTTATCATATTCGAATCTCTTCGTGGTATCGGAATCTGCCTCCAACTAACTTCCACATTATCAGCACAAACTCGCAGTGCTTAACTGTGATGATATAATTCAATCATCATTAAATTACTGCTCATCCATCAAACTTCATAAGTTCTATGAATCACTAGTGTCAAGCGTAGAGATAATGCTCCTCATTTCAAATGTTCATAATTGATGAGTTCAGCCCAACAACAGCAACAGCCAACAGCGTCTAATCAGATCAGTTCCGGTCGATTGGGTGAACGAGTTATCATCACAACGACAACTTCATCTGGTGATGGGATGCGATATACGCTGACAAGACCATTTTTCGGTGGCGGTTCAGTGGATACGGAATGTAGAAATGCCGCTGCATCTGCCGAAGAGAAATCAAAATCATGCAAGGCAAGCTCAGATGGGAGCAGTTCGAAGAAGAAGAAAACCAATAAACTCTACATATCTGCCAAACCGCACCAAAAATCTTCGTCAGCCTCAACTGTCGTTGTAAAATCGCTGACCACTGGCTGTTATGCGCATGTACTTGGCGATAAAACAGTCCCAACAAAGCAACTTGAACAAAAGACTTCTTCTGATGGCACCAGTGGCGCTAATCCTAAAACAAAGACTAGAAGTAAGTGGGGTTGGGGTCATTCAGGTAAAGATACCAGTAATGCCACGAAGAAGTCGGANGTGAGTTATCCGTCTACAACATGTCGCGTGGCCAGTATTCTGACGACGTATTCGGCGGCCAATTTGCCGTCTTGTAGCAACTACGATATTACCACAAGCACGACTAGCACAACTAGCAGTAGCTCAAGTGACACGAGTGTCGATAACAATATTCGTTTTGATCAAATCAAGAGAATCCGGCAGCGTAATTTCTCGGATGTCTCGTTGAGAAGTATGAAAAATGCCACCTCGGTGGGTGATATCCCCTCGTCATCATCCCGCAAATCACCTCCATTATCGGCTCTACCGTTGTGCAACGAAATAGCCGCATTCTTCGCTTCTGATACCATCCAGTCGGCTTCAACCGACAACGTCAAGAAAAGTATTCATGTGACGTCGAATGGAAAGAATGCGGCTGTTGTCACGTCGACGGCTGTGGCTTGTGCAGATGCACCGCCTTATGAACCATACGTGGCATCTCGATCGTTCTCTGACGCAGAATTCAGAATCACTGATTCTTCACGTTCAGCGTCGACTTTTCATCTGAATTCGGCTCCTAGTAGCTCTAAATCTTGCAATGCTAGAGGTATGTTCTGTACTCTTCTTCGGCTGTTCAATTGCTCGATAGTTCTATACTTTCTCATCAACATTTGTTCTTAAGGTATCGCAATTTGCAAAGCTGTTCAGTGCTAATTTCACCAACACTTTCTTAACGTCATTATCTTTTACCGTCAACAAAATGAAATCTTCGGAAATTCATTGGTTTATGTACGGGAAATCTCCACTGATGTTCCCAATCAGTGTTGATGAAATGATTTGCTTTGGTGTGCGCCGACAATCGCACTCCTCGTTCTTCGAAATGAATTCCTTCATTCAATACCATATGTTCCAAATATCTTAAAACTTCTGTGCACCTTTGAAACGTGAAAGTTTGTTTGATTTAGTGGGAAAAAGATACCTGATTATTTACACACTTCAACTAGCAAGAGAGAATGTTGCATTTTTTT